GAGTCAACCCCTTAGGTCTGATGTGATCAGATAAACATCATCAAAATAAAGGGAAGCCTTGGGCCAAAACGTGGCACTGAAAAACACTCACTTATAATCGCATATACAGACATTCACAGTCATAAAAACACTAACCACAAACACACACGCCAGGTACTGCAGGAGAGTATACAAACTCCCAGGCTATCTTGTCTCCCGTCTTCCTGTTAAAACGTTGCTTAATGACAGTGCGGGGGAGAGGAAGATTTTAATTAGCCAGCAGAGGAAGCTTCATTAAATCTTTCCTCTTCCGTCCTGCCAGGCGCTGTCCTGATGCAAAACTCTCCCAGCCGTTACAGTAGGTAGGACTACATGGTGACAATAGGAAATCAGATTAATCTTCCACTCGGCTTGAGACTGATGATAGCTTGGCTCTCTTTGGATCCTCTGAGTCACAGAAGTCTTCAGAGGTAAGCAATGTGGGGATGTTCTTATAATAATTTGCTGTTGAAAAGTGTATTGGTCCTTCCAAAGGACTTAAACATTGACTAACTTAGGGAAAACTAAAATATGTTTTCATATTATTATAATTTCCATGTCAGATCTTAGGTTTACAACAAACACTGTGTAACAATGTTAACACCAGATACAGAGGCTTCCACAAGACTAAATTCCACCCTTGCATGAGTTTCTTTACCTTCTTTTCTTCTGTGTCTTTTGCACATATTGGATGAACATAACAATACATCATGAATATAAATCTATAACTTTCACTAGGCTCTATTTACTTATATATTTAAGAGCATATTACAAAATATTGAAAATAATTGGTACAAAATAGACCTCATATGATGCGACCAACAGTGAACCAATATATTTGTGCATAAACAAACAGCACTTACTTAGTTTAAGGGAAAGTCAGGGTTCATATTTCGGCGAAAAGTTGTATAAAGTTGTGCAACAATGATATTCTCACTCCGCTGAGCACTACGGAGGAAGTGCAGCGCTTACAGCTTGAGTAATTGCCAACAACTGGAATGTGTTTTAGGAATAGATGAAGCAAGAAGGCTTTTATTTCAGCACATTTGCACATCACACATACAGAAACGCATGTGATGGTAATTTGAAGAAATGTTTGGCCAGTTTCCAAACTTGAACATCTGTTGCAAAGTTATTTGCTTTGTTTCAGTAGTGCCAATTTAAAGTCATGCGTAAGAGAAATGCTGCTCAAACATTTGTAAAGTCTTCAGGATGGCCAATTACTGAGCCATTCTGAAAAAGAGCTGAGTGAAAAGTGGATTGGGGATGAGCTGCAACAGAAGATGAGTAAGAGCCAAATAACAAAGTAAATAAGTCATATAATGTGTGGATCTTGCTACACACTGACAGATGAACAGGATTCTATATAAAACTACTCTCTTTATGCGCTTCAATCACTTCTTCCACATCTGTCAAAGGAGCACGACGCACACGCTTTTACATCCATTCCCATAATCCTGCCTCTTTTCTAATCGTGTGCCAGCCATCACAGTATATCACTTTATCCCTCCTTCAAAGCTCCCGAGAGACGACTGTTACACAGAGAAAAGTGAAATGAGAAATTCCCATTGCCACCTAATTGCATGGCCAAATCGATCCAGTAATAGATTCCTTCTCTCCGACATCCAGTCTCACTGACAGCGCTATCAGACAGACAAATCAGAACACTGAGTGTGTTTCTGTGTGTGTGTTGGCTTTTCAGTCTTCAACATGGCAGATTCTGGACGGCCAGACATCTGCGTGATTGCTTAGCAGTCGGAGAAAAGGCAGATTTAGGCTCAGCAACACTGACTTCCTACCCTTTTGTTGGAGATGAGCTCAAACATGGGCAATTCACTACTTAAACAAAAATGAATAAATAATACAAACATCCAATAGGAAATGTGCTTTTGATGGATATATTATTTGGAATGGAGAAAAAAGCCAGATAGACATAGCAGCTTCTTCAGTCTGTAAGCAGACTAAAGCTGCTCACTCACTTACAGTAAATGTCTTATTAAAAATAACTGTCCGTCCTTTTGTCTCAGTAACCCTGCCCATTTAAAGAGCAAGAGGTCCCGTTTAATCAGTTATGCTACAGACTCACATATGGACACATCCATTGTTAACAAGTACAAAAAACAAAACATGTTTTACAGAAATGTTTTAGGTACGAGGACCTTTCATCATGGGCAGCTGTCCTGAAAACAAGGCTAATTACTCTAAAGGCACGGACACACCAGGCCGATTGTCGGTGGGCGTCAGGCCGACGATGAGCGTCGACACGCCCTACTCAGATTGGTGTGTCCCGCACCGTTGGGTCTTTTCAGCCGTGCCGACGCCTTTTCGGCCCAAAACATGTTGAATCGGCGGGCAGTCGGCCAAAGGCAGTCGGCAAAAGAAATCACTCTGATTGGCTGTTAAGCTAGCTAATCAGTGCATGAGAAGCGAAACGGAAGTGAAGGACCCAAACAAACTATTATGAAGGCAAATCTGAGATTTCATTTAACTGCAGAACACAGGTTCGGGAAAGCCCCATGAGCTTCTCGTTGTTGAGTGAAAATGGAACGCACATTCTATTTGTTGTTTGTTTATATCACGCAGTCTGTTCTTCTTCTCTCGGTGTATCATGCAGTCTGTCTTCACACACTTACACACTTACACAGGCCAAACCCTCTTAGACATCCCATAACCAACCCGGTATCGCGGCAAGACGTGAACATGTGACAATTTACCATGCTGGGAGACGTGAAGATGTCACGATTTCGTCCCTTCAAACGTGACAGTTACACGGTATTGTTAACCTGGCCCAAATACCCGGAAATGCCAAGCAAATGCTGTACCACGATGGTCGGTTGTTATTGTCAATATTAATATAATAATGATTTATTATAAAGCAAGCACACTTGGAATAAAGTATTATTATTATTTTTTTNCACACATCACACACACACACACACACACACACACACACACACACCAACACACACCACACACACACACACACACACACACACGCACACACGACGAGCTCCGACCCCTCGCAGTCTTCGGCCCCCGGGACACCAAGGACTCTCCCCTTCATAAAACCCGTATTCATAAAGGACGGGGTTATCTGTAGCTAGGTGGTTATCACGTCGGAGTAGGTATTCTCCTACCCTTCCCTTTGGTCCCGGTCTGTTCTCCCGTCGTTCTTGTGTGTGGGTGGGTGGGTGGGTGGTGGTGGGTGGGTGTGTGTTGTGCGGTTGTTGTTTGTGGTGTGTGTGTTGTGTGGTGTGGTGTGTGTGTGTTGGTGTGTGTGTGTGTGGTTGGTGTGTGTGTGTGTGTGTGTGTGTGGTGTGTGTGGTGTGTGTGTGTGGTGTGTGGTGTGTGTGTGTGTGTGTGTGTGGTGTGCCCTTCGCACTGAATTAACAAGGGAGGACTTCTCCGACAAGAAGAGCATCGAAAACTAACTATACTACTATCGACCGTCTGACTCCTTCCACTAAGTTAAAATAGACACAACTTATTTTTCGCAACAATTGTGTCCCACCACCGACAAATTTTTTACCTACCTTTTTGGTTAGAACAGATTTGTTTGGGGTTCGACATGACTCACCAAGTTTATTATTTTTACACAAACATGAAATTACGTTAATGTTTTAGAATAACACAGTCTAGTTTTGTAGTATGGAACAAATATATATGTTATATAGGTCACGAACTTAACCTATTTTTTCCACGGTACCAATGAGATTTAGTCGTTTGACAAGTTCCAGTTAAATAAATATGTCGGGTTTTTGTTTTTTTAAACCAGTTTCAGTATCATTATAGGATATTACGACCAACCCAACAAACAGAAGAAATGACAAATATAAAACTTTCCCGAGTGAATTTGTTTTACTGAGTCCCACGTAGACTCTATATCTCCCCGCGTCCCACCCATTTCCACGAAATAAAAAATCATTCACCCCCTCAACCTGGACCTTGGGAGTCAATTTGTCTAAATGAAAAAGAAATACCTATATTTCTTCTTCATTTCGGACATGGAGGATGAACCGCCGACCAATTACTGAGGAGCAGGGACTCATGTGAGTGGTAGAAAGTCGCTCCTTTTCCTCTTCCTCCTGCCCTGTTAGGAACTAGGCCGCTGTTCCGCGACAGAAAAGCTGATAATAAAATTCGGTGCGATTTTAAAAACTTTTACGTAAAATTGACAACACAACTACAGAAAAAGACTGAGACCTACAACGATAAGCGACGCCCGCGCCAGTGTATCTACTCAAAGTAACCTACGCCGCCCCGACACTCATGGCCCGCGACTCATGCTTATACAAGGTAAAACGAATCCTTGGAAGGAATGCTTCACTTTTACTGGGCCGTCGGTACTATTCACGGCACACACACACACACACGTTCAAGGCCTTATCAACAACACTATAGTTTCACTGTCTCCAAAACTCCACAACATCCACAGGTAACTCTATTGCTGCTCTGATAGTTTGAAAGTTCGATTTTCCATTTTCAGTGCTTTCAGCGGCAGCATTTTTGACTAGTATAATTTTTTAATTGTTTCCCCAACCGACCCAGACTCAGCAACGCTCCTGGTGCTTATGTAATGCAGAACACTTAAATTGGATCAAATCTAGTCACCTTAAATAAAAGTGACACAACAATCACAACTGAATTAAAATAACTGTGACCGTTTCTCACACGCTTCAGTCAGTCTTTGGGATCATGATTCAATTTAATTTGACCCCTTCGTTCCATATATTTGTTCTGCCATGGAACTATCTATTCAAATGTGTCGGGTTATGGTTAAAGCACTTTGTGAAGACACTTTGGCAATAAAAGACAAGGAAATACGAATCAGAAACAGGTTTATTACCAGGTAGGTTTACACGTACGAGGAATTTGACTTGGTGTTGTAGAGATTTTTATGCTCTACTTACAGTAGCCCTTCCACATATATCTTTGACATATTTTTAAGTGTGATGTGTGTAAACTGTCCCCTCGCTCCCAACAGGAAGTGTGTGATGGAGTGGGAGGAGCCTCATGACAGCGCTCTGTACTGCCTTCAGACAGACGGGAATCACATGATAGCCAGCGGCTCCTCGTACTACGGGGGGGTGCGTCTATGGGACAAACGTCAGGCTGCATGTCTGCAGGTAACCTGCTGTAAATCCTCAATGTCTGAGCAGATGTTACACAATACACTTATTGCTGTTGTTTTTTTATAATGTACCTTTTCGTGTGCAGTTCTTCCAGCTGAGCTCCCGCCCGGTGAGCAGCCCTGTGTACTGCCTGAGGTTCAGCAGCTCTCACCTGCACGCTGCCCTCGCCTCCTCCCTGCACTCACTGGACTTCAGACAGAACAACGTCTACATCAGATGACACACACACACACACACACACACACACACACACACACACACACACACACACACACACACACATATCATTTTTTATTAATCTGTTCAATAAAGCTGTTTATTTTCACAAGGTATGTTTCATAAGGAAGTGCTTATTAAGATGAGTTAATAATTCATAATAGTCTAAATGTCAGTGGGTTTTTAATGGTGACCTCTTAAATGTATAAACCTTAAACAGAATCAGCCTGTATGGATGGGTGAAACAGCCAAGGCTGTACCTACTGATCAACAAGCACTAGAATAACCTCCACTTGTTCAAGATGTATTTGTTATTTAACTAATTCAGAAAACTGTTTAAAGTAGGCTGTTGGTAAAAGACTCAAGCTACAATTTACCTGTATTTGATTGTGAGATATAGAGGAAAAAAAGAGGAAAATTAAAATAGATGGCCTCTACCTACACCAACCCGGTGTCTACACCAAACCGGTATCACGGCAAGATGTGAACATGTGACGATTTACCATGTTGGGAAACGTGAAGATGTCACGATTTTGTCCCTTCAAACGTGACAGTTAGACGGTATTGTTAACATGGCCCAAATACCCGGAAATGCCAAGCAAATGCTGTACCACGACGGTCGGTTGTTATTGTCAATATATAATAATGATTTATTTTCTAATAGTCACACTCGATTTCGCCGATTTTCTTGTTTCCCCAGCTAGTCGACACCTCTTTTAGCATAAACAAAGGCCACATTAATGTATTAAATCGATGTTAATCCATGTGTGCGGTTGTGGAATTAACGGACGTGACGTTGTGCTTTTGCGTTGCCAGGCAACAACTTGGCTTCATGTTAATTTACAAACTCTTCAACTAGAACCGTAGTTATATTTAAAAACATTTTAGAAAGCCTCACGAAATACTTTAATGTAAATTTAAATTTAAATGTGAAGGACTGTGTGTAAAACAAAATTAATCCGTCAAAAACAATACCGGAAACAGACATAGGCAAGATCCTAAGCTCGATAGTTGGATGGTTTAGCCGCAATGCACGTTGGGATATGGTGTTTATGCAATGTGAAATCCGAAAACATAAAAAAAAAAAAAATAATACTTTATTTTGCGTGTGCTTGCTTTTCTCTTTGAAAGTAATCACATAACGGCATTGTAATACACGATTCGCCTGCATTAAATATTACACATCTGCCGTAGTTCTTTATTTATAGAGCCCTGATGAGAAGACTTCTGGACAAACTTGAAGACCTGNACCCATCCCTAGGTACCGGTGATATTCACGTTCGGGTGATGCCTTTTCAAATGAGTGTGCAAGTTTGATGTATTGCCAGCCGCGTAACCAATGTTAGTTGAACACAACTAACATTGGTTACGCGGCTGGCAATACATCAAACTTGCACACTCATTTGAAAAGGCATCACCCGAACGTGAATATCACCGGTACCTAGGGATGGGTATCGAGAACCGGTACTAAGTCAATACCGGTACCTGATTGTACGGTATCGGTATACTGTTAAGCCGCTGGACAAACGGTGCTGCTATCGGTATGTGTTACGTCTACTTCCTTAGTTTAACTTTAAACCATTCTGGTTGGTTGGGAACCCTCATCCCGTGTGATGTATCCGGTTTGAGACCCCTCTGATTGGCCACTGTAAATGCCACTCGTCATCTCTCTCAACAGCGCTCTTATTATTTTTGTGAGACTCCCGCACCAAATTATTGAAAAGTATCGATAAGAGTAAAGAAAAATACAGATACCGATAAGCAGTACCGGTATTGGTATCGATAAAATCCTAACGATACCCATCCCTACTTTGA